GAAAGAAAGCTTACTGTTAGGACATAAATCTTACAGAATCCAATTGCAGGAAGCACGGACATTATGGGAATTAGAAAGTGGTCAGGTAGATTTTCTGTGTCTCTTTTCCTCTTGGACCCCAAAGTCCCTTGTTTCTACTTCTCTTTCATGAATGATCATTTTCCTATCTCTAACAGTTGTCTTCAATGCTTAGTCATCTGCTTCTACTTGGCCTGTGAAGGTTTTTCCAAAATGGCATTTCCATCCCTTACCTGAGGCTCTTCACAGTCTGTTTTGGCCTGTGGTACCAACCGCAGATTTTGGGGAAGAGAATTGGACTGACTTTTGGGCATATGTTCACCCAAAACCAATAAGCATGGCTAGCATAGTAGACATTGGTCACAGGGACTGCCCCTTCAAGGCTGTGGACAGGGGAGGTTCTTAAGAAAGGGTTGTAGATCAGGGAAATACAAATCAAAACCACAATGAGATACCACCTCACACCAGTCAGAATGGCTAAAATTAACAAGTCTGGAAACAACAGATGTTGGCAAAGATGCAGAGAATGGGGAACCCTCTTACACTGTTGATGGGAATGCAAGCTGGTGCAGCCACTCTGGAAAACAGTGTGGAGGTTCCTCAAAAAGTTGAAAATAGAGCTACCCTACGACCCAGCAATTGCACTACTGGGTATTTACCCCAAAGATAATAAATGTAGTGATCCGAAGGGACATGTGCACCCCAATGTTTATAGCAGCAATGTCCACAATAGCCAAACTATGGAAAGAGCCTAGATGTCCATTGACAGATGAATGGATAAAGAAGATGTGGTACATATATATATATATACACAATGGAATATCATGCAGCCATCAAAAAAATGAAATCTTGCCATTTGCAAGGACGTGGATAGAACTAGAGGGTATTATGCTAAGCAAAATAAGTCAATCAGAGAAAGACAATTATCATATGATCTCACTGATACGCAGAATTTGAGAAACAAATTCAGAGGAAGAGAGGAAAAAATAAAACACGATGAAACCAGAGAGGAAGAAAAGCCATAAGAGATTCTTTATCTCAGGAAACAAACTGAGGGTTGCTGGAGTGGTGGGGGGTGGGAAGGATGGGGTGGATGTGTGATAGACATTGGGGAGGGTATGTGCTATGGTGAGTGCTGTGAATTGTGTAAGACTGTTGAATCACAAGACCTGTGCCCCTGAAACAAATAATACATTATTTGTTAATAAAAAAAAGAAAGGGTGTAGACATCTCTAATATAATATCATCATCTCTGACAGTGAAAGAGTTGAAACAAACTCCAGCTCTAACAATAGAGACTTGAGGATTGGTTAAAGAAATTTTAGTATAGATTATTGGATAATATACAGTCATTTAAAATTATGATATAGTACCATTTCTATTGACTCTGAAAAATGAATAATGTTCAGTAACATTTCGTGCATGTCCTTTCAGAAATATAAACACAAAATATATATATATGGGGACTCCTGGATGGCTCAGTCGTTAAGCATCTGCCTTCGGCTCAGGTCATAATCCCAGGGTCCTGGGTTCAAGCCCCGCATCGGGCTCCCTGCTCCGCGGGAAGCCTGCTTCTCCCTCTCCTACTCCCCCGCTTGTGTTCCCTCTCTCGCTATGTCTCTCTCTGTCAAATAAATAAATAAAATCTTCATTAAAAAAAAGAAATATATATGTGTGTGTTTGTGTGTGTATAAGATTTGAGCCCTAGAATGAGTGGAAACTCTGAAACATTAATGGAATAATTAATGAAAAGCTGTATGTTAGAGAACCTTGAGCTAGTGGGTATTATAGTCCCAACTGGTCAATTCATGTTACAGTATTTTCCAGTAGAACCTATGGTCTTCGTGCCCCACACAAAATTAATGAATGGAGATGGGGGCAAAATATATAAACATATAGATGTATATACATCTGTCTCCCTCTCTCTCTCTCTATATATATATATATACACACATATGTATGTATGTGTATATTTATAAAATATAAATATATTTCTGAAAGGATATGCACCAAAATGTTAACAAAGATTATCTTTGGCTAATGGGATTGTGGTTGGTTATATTGTTTTTTGTTTCTTTTTGCTCATTTTTCTACATTGAATAATGGATTATTTGTATATTAAAGTCTGGAAGGGTAAACGTAAATGTTTTCTTATCTGTATTTAATTTGTTCTACAATGAGTAAAGCATGCATTAGTATAATTTTAAAAAGTTAATTTGAAATAAATAATATAGATGTGCAAAGCCCTGCATTAAAGTTAAAAAGTCAATTATTTTCCAGAAATGTTTCAAAAATAGAGCACAGGTGAGACTGGGCTTAGAGTAAGTTTATTTTTATATGCCCTGGAGATCTTGATTGACTTATTTAGGCTAACAGGGTAAATCTGCAGTTAAAAAAATCTAGTGCCAAACCAAGAAACCAAGAAACAGTCTCTTAACTATAGAGAACAAACTGATGGTTACCAGAGGGGAGGTGGGTGGGTAGGGGATGGGTTAAATAGGTGATGGGGATTAAGGAGTGCGCTTGTGATGAGCACTGGGTGATTTGTGGAAGTGTTGAATCACTATATTGTACACCTGAAACTAATATTACATTGTATGTTAACTAACTAGAATTTAAATAAAAACTTAAGAAAAAAGGAAATATAAGGAAACAAACACAAAATCTAGTGCTCAGAGTATTATATCAAGAAATACTGTGTCCTTATTAAGAGTTTATAGTCTCATGTACTCTGCGTGAATTAGAACACATCTGAAGAAGTTGTCCATTTTAGCTCCTTACTTCAAATGGAACAAAGAGGGACAACAAAAGGAGGCCAGGGGTCAGAGGTCACCTGAGGGATGATTGAGAGAACTGGAGATGGTCAGCCTGTGGAGGAACTTGCAGGAAAGTTGATAGCAGGCTATAAATATTTGAAAGGATATTGTGGGGAGGGATTGAAGAGCAGAGGTTATTAGGAAGCAGATTCTACTTAGGTCAACATAGGGAAGAACTTCGTATTTTCATTATCTCTTGGTGAAAGGGCCTCTTCACCAAGTAGCAGAGACTGGGGGAACATCTGACAATTGTCTGAGACTCAGTTCCTTTGTTGGGAGGTGTAAAGAAAGCTTAGTCCTCCTGAGTTTCTCCTTCACTCTCACACGACTCCCACTCACAGCACTTCTGACAGCAGATCTGGGTTTCTCCACCTCACACCAAGCAATTCTCTGACACCGCCTGGGTGTCCTACAATTTAACTGAATTATGGAGATAGTGTCAGACCCCACAGGTTAAGGGCTTCGTCCCATGAGACTGTCAACCCCCCCCCCAACTTCAGATGCCAGTCTCAAGTAGTAGGTCCCGGGTTACCCACAAATGCTGTCTGACTTGACTATGAATTGAAGTTTCCCATGACCTCCCCCTTCCTTGGATTTGATGATTTGCTAGAGCAGCTCAGAGAACTCAGGGAAATACTTAACATTTACCAGTTTATTAAAGGATATGAGAAAGGATACAGATGAATAGTCAGATGAAAAGACACAGAGGGAAAGGTCTGGGAGGGTCCTAAAGTGCCGGAGTTTCTGTCCCCTTGGAGTTGGGGTACATCCCTCTCCCAGTATATGGATGTGTTCACCAACCTAGAAGCTCTCCAAACCCTGTACTTTGGGGATTTTTATGGAGGTTTTATCACATCGGTGTGATCAATCATTAACTTCATTTCCAGCCCCCCTCCCCTCTCTGGAGAATGGGGGTTGGGGCTAACAATTCCAAGCCTCTGATCATGGCTTGGTCTTTCTGGTGAGCAGCCCCCATCCAGGAGCCCACTCAGAGTCACCTCTTTGGAACAAAAGACACTTCTATCACCAGAGAAGATCCAAGGGACTTAGGAACTCTGTGTCAGGAACCAGAGTCAAAGAATAAAACATGCTCATAGTGCTCTTTTCACTTAGGAAATCATCAGGATTTTCAGAATTCTGTGCCAGGAACTGGGGGCAGAGATTAATGTATATATTTTCTATTATGTCACAAGAGGAAAATTGGGTAGCATAAGCTCTAAGGTCTTTCTACTTATGAGAGTGTGAGTTGATAAAAAATAATCTTTTCACATATAAAAAAAGTGAGACTAGATTTAAGTTGGATCACGAATATTTGCCCATCATTTGCACTTTTATGTTGCTACCAAACTCTGACATTTGCAGTATTTGCGGTTTACTTCATTTAAATTGTATTTCATACTGAGAAGTGGACTTTGGGCTTCAGTTTCTTGTGGTCTTAACTAGAGGAGGTTAAGCCAGGGCCTGTCTAAATACACTAAACCATATGCTTTTCTGAATGCTCAAGGAAAGGCTATATCAATAAACCATAAAACTTAGTAGCACCTGAGGGTTAGGAGCATGACTGCCTGGGTTTGAATCCTGCTTCTGTGCCTTAGTGTCTTTACCTGCCAAATGGCAAAAATACCAGCCATAGGCTTGTTGTGAGCTTGGGAACATGGCCTTCATTATGCATTTCACCTGTATACTCTGTGAAGCTACCTACCAGTTCTCCAATAAGTCACTGGTGAATGAGTGAGTGAAAGAAATTACAAAAATCCTTTCCCCTAGCTACAGTGACGTGAGCTTACTGAATGTAGAGGCGACACTCCATCCCGTGATGCTGAATTCCAGTGCATTTCATCCTAAATCTCACTCGGCCTTCTATGTTTTGCCTAATTTAACCATATGCTTCCTGAGAAATGTGATCCTTGAATTAGAATGAATTTTGTAGGGGCTTGTTTTGGAAAGGAACGTATTTTTTTCATGAATGGGGTATGCTGGTCTGAGAATACTTGGGTGTGAGGACTTGAATAATTAATGCACTAGACCTCTCAGAAGTGGATGCCCAGAATATTTTTGGAAAGAGAAAGTTGGTTGAAACTGCCAGATTGTTTTTTTTCAAGATACAAGATAATTATGATTGTGTTGCCTCTCAAATACTGAATTTTTCTTTCCATGATTTTCTAGAGAATGAAGATCTAGAAAACACCAACGTCACCTCTGCAGTGGCTTCGGCCTCTGATCCAGAACCCCATTCCTCACCTTACAGGTAGGGGCAGCAACTGGTTGGCTCCTAGACGCTTATCTTCTGAGATAAGGAATTGATGAAAGGCATGGACAGCGACTTTAAGGGGGTGGACAAGTTGGAGTGAAGAGTATAGATGATTTGGTGGTAGATATAGATGATAGCCCTTAAGTGTGCTTAGGGGCAATGTGAGATCTCTTTCAGGTGGTGAAATTTTCTTTTCTCTCAGAGAACAAAACCGTAACAAATAGTGTAGTGTCTTCTTCTGAAGCCCAGGTTGAAATGTTAAAACATTAGACATGGATGGATCCCAGGTGGACTTTGAAGAGAATGTCTATTTGCTTTTTACCCATAAGATGCACATACACACACACAAACACACTTTTGGAGGGTTTTTTTTTTTTTTAAGTCTAATTTTTAGATTAAACCATTATGATGACCTTCAGATTGTTATTCTTAATTTTCTGCTCCATCCATTTCATCTACCTACTGTCATTGATACCATAGTGTATAGCAGAAAGGGAAGAGTTGTACTGAGCTCTGGAATAAGTGGAAACATGAAACATTAATGGAATAATTAACAAAAACCCATATTTTGGAGTAATAGATAATAATGGAGTTAACAGATACTAAGTCCAACTGATCTTGTGGCACAATATTGTCCAGTAGAACCAGTGTGGTCTCCATGCCTCACACAAAGTTGGTGGCTGGGGGAAGAGAGGAATGTCAAGATATTTAAACAATATGTTATTTCTTTTAAAAAATTTTTTAAAATTTTATTTTAAATTCTATGCCCAATGTGGGGCTTGAACTCATGACACTGAGATTAAGAGTCGCATGCACTACTGACAGCCAGCCAGGTGCCCCCAATCTGTTACTTCTTCAGTAGAAGTTCTTTCTTCTTACCTTTATATATGGAATAAAACTTTTTTCCCCCCAGAATTCAGATGATGGAAGATAATGATTAATGTAATAATAATACAGTTGGTGATATATAGCCATACTTTATTGAATTTTTCTCCGTAACAATGATAATAAAATAGTTAACTTTTTACAGAATATTTCTATTTGCTCAATACTGTACTAGGTGTTAAAATGTATTATATCATGTAATCCTCCTAACAGCCCTACTGAAATAGGTTTTTGTTTTTTTTTTTTATGATGAGGAAAACAAAAGAATGAATTGAAAAATTTCCCAAGTTTATGGAGCTTTAGGTTTGTTCTACTTTAAAGCTTGTTCCCATGAGTCACATTGGAAGGGTTTTGAGTTCCATGCTTAGACTTACTAGGTTATTTATATAACAGTCCTTTTAGAAGACAAAGCCTCCCCAAGGCTTTGATGATTTGAGACAATTCTTATCCTCATCAAATCCCAGGAGAGGAGCTCCTTTCCGTCTTCCTGCCCTCACCCTTTTTCTGTACATGGTGATTTGAAGGATATTTGGGAGATGGCTTTTGGCACAGAACTGATTTTTCCTCCTAAGAGTAAATAAAGTTTTTGAGCGAAGAGTGTACAACATTCTTAGAAAAAAGGAGATCTAATGTTAAAGCTTTGTTTCTAAAATCTAGTGTGTGAAGAAAGAAATCCAGCCCAGATGACACCTGAAGTGTAGTGTTTATGTTTTGTATATATTAGAACTGGAAGGGCACAACTCTCTCTCTTTGCCAATGAGGCTAGCCTGGCTGGCCAGGCTCTCCCCTCCCTTGGGATGCCCTCCCTACCCTGGGTCAGCACACACCAGAAGGCTTACAGTGGGAGTTTTTCCTTTTCGTGGTTTATCACTGGCATCAAGTGATTTGCAATTTGTCTTTCCCAAAACACCCTTCATTGATTCTTCAGAGCGTACAATGTTAATGTGAATATTAAATTTATGTGGCTGTGGCGTGTCCTGTTTAGAATTGTTTTTTAATAAGCAGAACCATATTTGTGCAAAGTAGCATGCACAAAGGCAAAGAAGAGCCTTTAGATGCATACACAGTAAGGTCAGGCTAATGATCGGATTCACTGTTGTAGTCTCACATGCCAGTACTGCCCTTTTGCTCCCAAACAAAAAGTAACTTACTCATTTGTTTATTCAACAAATATTTGGGGGCCATCTCCTGTTTATTCATTCAACGGTTATTTGTTGAGCGCCTGCTTGCTACTTACCTGGCGGTGTTCTAGGCAATGAAGATACTACAAATGAACAAGCAATCCAAGTTGCCGGTCTCATGGAGTTTACATTCTAGTGGGAGGGCAGACAGAAAGCAAGTATACATCATATTTCATAGACTCTTTTTTTTTTTTTTTTAAAGATTTTATTTATTTATTTGAGAGAGAGAGAATGAGAGAGAGCGAGTACATGAGAGGGGGGAGGGTCAGAGGGAGAAGCAGACTCCCTGCCGAGCAGGGAGCCCGATGCGGGACTCGATCCAGGGACTCCAGGATCATGACCTGAGCCGAAGGCAGTCGCTTAACCAACTGAGCCACCCAGGCGCCCCATATTTCATAGACTCTTAAGTTGCCATGAACTGTAAGAGGTACTGTTATTTTATGAACTACCAAGAAAGGGAAAATGCCCAAGGTAGAGAGTCTAATAAGAGACACCCCCCCGCACACACACACCATGGGGCTAGGATACCAAAAGCCTAAACCTTCAGAAAAAGATAAGAAAAAGTCCCTCCACACAGAAGGATTGCAAGGAACCTTTAATGTCTCCACCTTGGCACTGTGTAAGAGGTGGAAAAAATATCTCCCCTGAGAATATGAACCACGAGTCTGTAGATACCAGTTTGTGGTCTAAATTCACTCTGCCAGTGTGATCTAAACAAAACCCTCACACAGAACTTATTTCAGGTCATCTCAGTTGGAAGCCCTCGTGAGTACTGGCAGGAGCAAACGCAGATCTGGAGAAGGACTTCGTGTCAGTCCAGGCCCTAGGCAGTTGTAAGACACTACTAATTTTTAGGACATCCTCCATTTTGTTTGTATTAAAATCTGAAAACAAATCTACATCTTGAAATCAACAAAATATGGTACATAATATGTTGGGCAGTGGTGAGTGCAGTGAAGACGAGTGAACAGGGTAAGGGTGTAAAGACTGATGGGGCTAGGGTGGGGTGAGCGATTTCACTTACCGACCTCTGGGGAGCCTCTCTAGAAGTGACGGCTGAGCACAAGCCTAAAGGTAGGAAGCCCTCAGGTAACTGATGGAAGAATGTTAGGCTGAGGTGACAGCAGGTGTAAAACCCTTGAGTGGGAGAGGGCTTGAGGTGTTCGAGGATTCTCAGAGGTTCAAGAGGCCATTGTGACTGCAGCAGACAGGCAAGATGACATGACATCATTCTAGGGGATGAGGGTTCCATGTGACAGGCCTGGCGTAGATGCTGTGCATACTGGGAGTGAGACCCGTCCCTGCCATCAGGCTCATCTTCTAATAGAGGAGACAGATCAGAATAAATGGTGTCAAGAAACAAAAGTGGACTGTAATTTCTGGGCCTAAGAGAATAAATAGGCTTATAGCCTAGACTAATTTACATTTTACACAGGATTACCCGAGCAAATGCATAAAAATCAACAGCATCCCACACCTCTGATTTTTATAGTGACTGCCTCTTGTTTGTTCTGAGGGAGGTTGGAGTGACTTGGATAGCCCAAAAGGTGGCTTTATTTTATCTGAAAAAGAGGTAATTTGTAAGCTAGGAGTGATTTTTCTTGTTTATGGTAAAAAAAGAAGAAAGAGAGAAAGAAGCTAATAAATACCAAAAGAAGTCCTCTGTTACCGCATGTTGTCTATAGTACTGTTTTCTTGTCATTTACTCAGCTTTCCTGGGGAAGCAATGCTTGAAAGCAGTGATTCTCAAACCTTTACACAATTCAAAGTTATTGAGGACCCCAAAGAATTTTTTCTGTGGGTTGTATCTATCAATGTTTACTATATTAGAAATTAAAACTGAAAAATTAAAAAATAGTTGTTGATTAATTTAAAAATGAAAATAATGAATTCATGGCATGTTAATGTAAATAATATGTTTTTAATGGAAAGCAACTATTTTCCAAAGCAGAAATAATTTAGTGAGGAGACAGGTGTTGTAACTCTCTTTCATGTCTGGCTTCACAAAACAGATTCTCACATCTGCTTCTGTGTTCATTCTGTTGTGAGATCACACGTCATGTACTGGAAAACTCTAATGTAGACTCTTGAGAAGATGAAAATGAAAAAAGGCGATCATATTTTAGCATTATTACACAAAAGTCTTTTTTTTTTTTTTAAGTCTAATTTTTAGATTAAACCATTATGATGACCTTCAGATTGTTATTCTTAATTTTCTGCTCCATCCATTTCATCTACCTACTGTCATTGATACCATAGTGTATAGCAGAAAGGGAAGAGTTGTACTGAGCTCTGGAATAAGTGGAAACATGAAACATTAATGGAATAATTAACAAAAACCCATATTTTGGAGTAATAGATAATAATGGAGTTAACAGATACTAAGTCCAACTGATCTTGTGGCACAATATTGTCCAGTAGAACCAGTGTGGTCTCCATGCCTCACACAAAGTTGGTGGCTGGGGGAAGAGAGGAATGTCAAGATATTTAAACAATATGTTATTTCTTTTAAAAAATTTTTTAAAATTTTATTTTAAATTCTATGCCCAATGTGGGGCTTGAACTCATGACACTGAGATTAAGAGTCGCATGCACTACTGACAGCCAGCCAGGTGCCCCCAATCTGTTACTTCTTCAGTAGAAGTTCTTTCTTCTTACCTTTATATATGGAATAAAACTTTTTTTCCCCCAGAATTCAGATGATGGAAGATAATGATTAATGTAATAATAATACAGTTGGTGATATATAGCCATACTTTATTGAATTTTTCTCCGTAACAATGATAATAAAATAGTTAACTTTTTACAGAATATTTCTATTTGCTCAATACTGTACTAGGTGTTAAAATGTATTATATCATGTAATCCTCCTAACAGCCCTACTGAAATAGGTTTTTGTTTTTTTTTTTTATGATGAGGAAAACAAAAGAATGAATTGAAAAATTTCCCAAGTTTATGGAGCTTTAGGTTTGTTCTACTTTAAAGCTTGTTCCCATGAGTCACATTGGAAGGGTTTTGAGTTCCATGCTTAGACTTACTAGGTTATTTATATAACAGTCCTTTTAGAAGACAAAGCCTCCCCAAGGCTTTGATGATTTGAGACAATTCTTATCCTCATCAAATCCCAGGAGAGGAGCTCCTTTCCGTCTTCCTGCCCTCACCCTTTTTCTGTACATGGTGATTTGAAGGATATTTGGGAGATGGCTTTTGGCACAGAACTGATTTTTCCTCCTAAGAGTAAATAAAGTTTTTGAGCGAAGAGTGTACAACATTCTTAGAAAAAAGGAGATCTAATGTTAAAGCTTTGTTTCTAAAATCTAGTGTGTGAAGAAAGAAATCCAGCCCAGATGACACCTGAAGTGTAGTGTTTATGTTTTGTATATATTAGAACTGGAAGGGCACAACTCTCTCTCTTTGCCAATGAGGCTAGCCTGGCTGGCCAGGCTCTCCCCTCCCTTGGGATGCCCTCCCTACCCTGGGTCAGCACACACCAGAAGGCTTACAGTGGGAGTTTTTCCTTTTCGTGGTTTATCACTGGCATCAAGTGATTTGCAATTTGTCTTTCCCAAAACACCCTTCATTGATTCTTCAGAGCGTACAATGTTAATGTGAATATTAAATTTATGTGGCTGTGGCGTGTCCTGTTTAGAATTGTTTTTTAATAAGCAGAACCATATTTGTGCAAAGTAGCATGCACAAAGGCAAAGAAGAGCCTTTAGATGCATACACAGTAAGGTCAGGCTAATGATCGGATTCACTGTTGTAGTCTCACATGCCAGTACTGCCCTTTTGCTCCCAAACAAAAAGTAACTTACTCATTTGTTTATTCAACAAATATTTGGGGGCCATCTCCTGTTTATTCATTCAACGGTTATTTGTTGAGCGCCTGCTTGCTACTTACCTGGCGGTGTTCTAGGCAATGAAGATACTACAAATGAACAAGCAATCCAAGTTGCCGGTCTCATGGAGTTTACATTCTAGTGGGAGGGCAGACAGAAAGCAAGTATACATCATATTTCATAGACT